ATATATATATATATATATATATATATATATATATGGGTGGTTTCATCTCAAATCGTGCAGGCAAAAAGGGTCGAATTTTTAATTTCGATGAAAAAAATATATGTTATGGCGCCGTTTCTAAAACCGCAGTCGACACAAACCGCAAGTTCGTCGGATTTTTTGTTCTCGACTTATGAATTTTTAAAGAGGCCGCGGCGAAAAGCAGTGTTTTTCACACCCGTCGTGGGTCGGATGTTTCGCTTGATCTCCCGCCATGGATTTTCAGTCCACATTATATTATCTTTTTTGGAGCACTCTGTGGACACATTTAAAAGGCTCCAATACCATGAAATAATTTTAGGCCTTTTGCTTTTTTTCTGTAAAAATGTCAAAAACGCCTCCTCGGTCAATTGTTGACGAAATTTGACAATTAATTACTGGCGATCTACTTGGGTTACACCGATATTTTTTATGTCCATGGAGAGCCCAAAACACGCTCTTTATATTTATAATAAAATGCCTTGGCTGTATAAAATATCCTTTGCGGTACGTTTACGTTAATGTTATGCAAAAACCAAAAAGTACCATTTTTGAAATTGATTTTCTCAAAAAAACGCATTTTTTTATTTTTTTTCATTTTTTGTTCAAATGTAGATATGATAGTTGTCTACACAAAAATCAAGCCTAGAAAGTGTATATTTTGTTTGTATGTTCTACATTTAAGCGTCAATATCGCACAAAAACGTGTTTTTACGGCTAGAAATGGACTTGCGAATTGCGCGTCTTCACAAGCTTGGAAATAGTTTTTTCTTTTTTTTCAACGTTCCCACATAAAAATGAAATACAGTATTTCCACCCTGATATATTTATTGATTATTTAAATTTTATTATAGGCGGCAAGCTACATCGGAGGAGCTCCAAAAAGAGAAAGCGACACTTCTTAACAGACCAGCAGGTGTCGTAAATTTTTAACGTGTAGGAGTCGGCAGACGTCTTATTCATTCGGGGCCCTCATTGGCCTGCATGAACGTCCCACCCTTTCGGAGCCAGCAGGTGACCACGACCTTTCGCGCTCGTTGTGTTAGATGGGACGGCCCGTGACAGTAAAGCGAGCAGCGCACCCTGTGTCACGAGGAGTGAAATGGTACGATTGTGTCGTTCACGCGCGCGAACACTGACAGCCACCCAGGAGGAGTCTGTCAGAGTATTGCCCAAGGGAAAGCAAAGGAATCGTTGCCTGAAAGGATGAGGACACCACGGCCTTACAATGTCGACGGGTCAACAAATGTTCTGCCAGCCAAAACAACGCCGCGTGCGCGCTAAAACCGGCGGCGCGGGACAGAAATCCCGCAGACGCACACACGAAGATGGGCCGGTTTCGTTAGGGGATGTGGGGAAATTTGAAACCAGCCATCCGTGCATGCGTGTGAAACGATACCGCCTGTTTGCCCTAGCTTCGAGCGCCCTATCCTTACCTTGAAACGGCCGTGCTCTCTCTCTCTCTCCGGGGAGATCCGATAGCACCGAAGGGTTATCTATTAACTTGAGGAAGAAAACGAGAAGGGAGTGTTTAAGTTTAATTATCCCCACCGACCCGCTCGTTCTGTCCTTATAAAGGGTTAACTCTTTTGGAAACAGCAAAGCCCGGAGACTGACATTAAAACGAGAGTGTGGGTTAATATACTTGTGTTTGTATTCTGCCCGGAGACTAGTTGGGTCGAAGTCAGCCTCCTTGTCAACTATAACCGTTTGTGAAGAGTGGGCTTCTCCCGAGATGAAACGTTAGCGCCGGCTGACATGTTCTTTTGAAAAAGGGAAGGGGAAAGAGAAAGTTTGAGTAACTGCAGAAACTACCTCCAAAGCTCCTCTCCCGATATGAAGCTTGAAGCATAGTCTCGGTTACCTTCTCGCGCATCGCCTGCTCGAATCTATTCTTCACTTTCTTTCGTCATGCCACTGTTCCGCACAGCCGTCGTGGATGTGCGTAATAGAGGGAGGAACAGATTCGAGCATCATGTGGGACGCCGTCATCCTGCCAGACTTCAATGTCGTGGGACCGACTCGTGTGTGTTTCTTCGCCCCGCTGAACTTTGTTTCTCGGGTGCGGTTTTTCTGAACGTTTTCTTTTGTTTGCTTTTGTTTTTCAATGTTTTCTTACTAACTGTTTGTTAGCACTGTTCAGTTGTTGGGTTTATTTCGTCACGGCGTAGCGGCCTGGCGGTGATGTAGAGAGCGTGTTCGCACGCATTTGGTTGCGTCCCGTTTAGGGAATGCCCGGGGGAGTTGGTTTTTGTTCTTGCCATTTGCGGCTGAGTTTTCCCGTCTTTATTAAATTATTGATTTTTTGTTTGTTTTACCTTTACGTGCCGTCGACTTCTTTGACTCTCCACCAGGCGTGGACCTATCGCCTTGCCACCGCTCGAACCTAAATACTTTTTTTTTTTAACGCAATTTTCGTTAAGATTGGAGTTGGGCAATTCAATTCCTATTTATTTATTTTTATATCCTACCCCTCTCCATGTCACACTCTCTGTGTGTTTCGGACCGTTTCTGTGTCACCACTTTTGTGTATTACGGAAGTGAAAGGGCATTCCCTGGTGACCTGTGCGATGTGCGGTGAACAAGCCCCAGTGTTTAGTTTCGTAAAGAATTGTATATAATATATCGACGATGTGCTGACTTTCTTTGTCTTAGTAATATGACAGCTAATAGCTAGTCGTGCTAGTTTACATTGAAAGGTTTATAAATCGAAACAATACAACGTCTGTGCCTTTTGGTTATTGAAAGTCTACTAGGCCTGCTCATTTGGTTAGATATGTATCTCATGGTTCCTGCTCTTATCAAAACATACATAAATATTCAATACCACAAAATCCGTTTATAATTGATTACAAAATGCAGAAGAAAATTCAAGAAAACTTTTTCACTATTCATAGACACGCATGGGTCGCTATGTCTGACTTAGGTCTTGCAAAACAAAGACGTCTTTTTTCCGATATTCAGGCCTAAATATAAAACATGCAAACAAAATATACAGTTTCTAGGCTTGATTTTCGTGTAGACAACTATCATATCTACATTTGAACAAAAAATGAAAAAAATAAAAAATGGGTTTTTTGAGAAAATCAATTTCAAAAATGGTACTTTTTGGTTTTTGCATAACATTAACGTAACGTACCGCAAAGGATATTTTATACAGCCAAGGCATTTTATTATAAATATAAAGAGCGTGTTTTGGGCTCTCCGTGGACATAAAAAATATCGGTGTAACCCAAGTAGATCGCCAGTAATTAATTGTCAAAGTTCGTCAACAATTGACCGAGGAGGCGTTTTTGACATTTTTACAGAAAAAAAGCAAAAGGCCTAAAATTATTTCATGGTATTGGAGCCTTTTAAATGTGTCCACAGAGTGCTTCA